TTGTCAAATGTCCCTGACTAATGACGGTGTTGTCAAATGTCCCTGACTGATGACGTCGTTGTCACCTGACCCTGACTGATGACGTCGTTGTCACCTGACCCCGACTGATGATGGTGTTGTCACCTGACCCTGACTGATGACGGTGTTGTCAAATGTCCCTGACTAATGACGGTGTTGTCAAATGTCCCTGACTAATGACGGTGACGTCCCTGACTGATGATGGTGTTGTCACCTGACCCTGACTAATGACGGTGCCAGCATCTGTCCCTGGCTGATGACGGTGTTGTCACCTGTCCCTGTCTGATGACGGTGCTAGCACCTGTACCTGGATGATGAAAGTGTTGTCACCTGTCCCTGAGTGATGGCGGTGCTAGCACCTGTCCCTGAGTGATGACGGTGCTAGCACCTGTCCCTGAGTGATGACTGTGCTGGCACCTGTACCTTGATAAATGACGGTGCTAGCACCTGTTACTGAATGATGACTGTGTTGTCACCTGTACATGAATGATGACAGTGTTGTCACCTGTCCCTGACTGATTACGGTGCGGGCACCTGTACCTGACTGATTACGTTGCTGGCACCTGTACCTTGATTGATGACGGTGCTAGCACTTGTCCCGGACTGATGACGGTGCTAGCACTTGTCCCTGTCTGATGCCGGTGTTGTCACCTGTCCCTGTCTGAAGACGGTGGTAGCACCTGTACCTGAATGATGAAAGTGTTGTCACCTGTCCCTGAGTGATGACGGTGCTAACACCTATACCTGACTGATGACTGTGCTATAGCACCAGTTAATGACTGATGACGGTGTTAGCATCTGTACCTGATTGATGACAGTGTTGTCACCTGTCCCTGAGTGATGACGGTGCTGGCACCTGTCCCTGACTTATGACTGTGCTATAGCACCAGTTAATGACTGATGACGGTGTTAGCATCTGTACCTGATTGATGACAGTGTTGTCACCTGTTCCTGAGTGATGACGGTGCTGGCACCTGTCCCTGACTTATGACTGTGCTATAGCACCAGTTAATGACTGATGACGGTGTTAGCATCTGTACCTGATTGATGACAGTGTTGTCACCTGTCCCTGAGTCATGACGGTGCTAGCATCTGTCCCTGGCTGATGATGGTGTCAGCACCTGTACCGGACTGATGACCTTGTCAGCACCTGTACCAGACTGGTGACGGTGTTGTCCCCTGTCCCTGACTGATGACGGTGCTGCCCCTGATTGATGAAGGTGCTAGCACCTGTACCTGACTGATAACGGTACTAATCATGTCCTTGTTTGATGACCGTGTTAACTGATAATTGACTGCAGCTGTAAAACATTTCTTGAACTAGGACATGTGTTAAAGAGGGGTTTTATCATTTGTATATGCAAATAAACCAATTGCCATATTTAAAAAGACATAACCTTGTGACAGTGCTATGAAACCGGAAGAACAGATATTGGAGATGGAAGCCAGACTGTGCAGATGAATACACCAGCAACATGACTACCCAAACTCTCAGTCTATCCTTGTCTTACTTTAAATCCTATATATCGGATCGTTCTTCAATCATAGTATTACTGATTTCACAGCAGATAACCACAAAAGCGCAACGTATAAATGTCACCCTCTAGACGCCAGGTCGGCGTAAGGTCAGGCAAGTGAGGAATGTTAAATAGTGCACGGTGATTTTAGGATGAAACGCAATGCCCGTAATGCCAGACCCACGAGAATGCATTACACCTCGCCCTTGGGCATGATCAGACTTGTTTACTTGGAAAACAGCATTCGTCACCACTCGACACTTTCCGTAACATGCAACAAGACATCCGGCTTGTCCAGAAATAAGTAGGTGAGGTGGTGAAGTGAAATTGGGTTTAACGGCGCGTCCAAGTTTATTGCACTTATATAGCGACGTGCATGCACGTGTGTGTGTTTGTGTGGCTGCTTGTACTAGTCCGGACTGATGCCGATTTATAGTGCTAGCTCACTGAGATACCATGCCGCAGTTTAACATGAATACCCCACTCAGACACAGTATACTGACTCCGAGCCGACCAGTCCTTGTTTTAGCCCCTTAATGCCGAGCGCCAGACAGGGTAGCAACAAGTACCATCTTTTAACGTCTTTTGGTATGACGCGGCCGGGGACCGAACCCTGGACCTTCCGCTCTCCGGGTGGACGCTTTACCACAAGACCACGGAGGCGGTCCCAGAAATAAGTAGCTCTGAATGAGTCATTCATTAAATTTCGTTACAAACAAGTTGTCAGACTGGAACAAGATGCGTCGTGTGAGATGTCTTTGCAATTATATTTGGGAATTATATCATCTCATTCGTTTATTGTTTAATTCCAGTTTTATTATGTCACTGACTACTGGCTACTGATCGTCTCGTTATAAAATTGTGTCTATAAACCCTACAGCGCACTTCTACGTCTCCGATTGGATAAAAATCATAAACGAGTTTTAAAATCTTCAAACCCATGTTTTTCTTTATGATGTTGTAACGGCCATAAAATTTCCCGAGATTGGATTTCCCGTGATGGGATTTCCCGTGATGGGATTCGAACCACGGACCTTCTGACCCAAGGTCGGACGCCATGACCAAAGAGGTTAACCCCGTCAGCAAGCTGACATCTGTTGGATGACTCCACGCCCTGCTACATACTCCCCCGTCAACAGAAGGCACGTCCCGGGCCGCATAGTAGGGTACTGAGGCTTAATTTGCTCAAATTTAATATGAACGTGCTCAGCCCCACGTTGGGCGCCAATGTAGCGGCCATAAATTTTCCGAGTCCCTTGATGGAATTCGAACCACGGACCTTCTGATTCGGGGTCGGACGCCTTGTCCACATGACGAAAAAGGGTAACCCCGTCAGCAAGCTGCCTCAATACACGCAAAAACTCTTCGACGCACAGAAAAAGTCAGTCGTCTGATGAGGTCACGTGGGATTTGACGCCATTCGTCTTGGAGGGCCAAGATCAGTTCTTGCCGGTTGGCTGGAGAGTGTGGTCGTTGTCGAACACGACATTCAATCAAGTCCCAGAGGTGTTCTATGGGGGACATGTCGGGTGAGCGTGCAGGCCACGGCAGGACGTTGACGTTGTTGGCTGCGAGGAAGTTAGTGACAATTCTGGCTGTATGGGGTCTAGCGTTGTCATGCTGATCAATGACACCACGTGGCTGCTGTTGTAGAAATGGTAGGTCAACTGGACGAAGAATGTTATCCATGTACCGCTGAGCTGTCAAGTTTCCGTCAACGATGACCAGCGGTGTCCTCTCCTGCCCACAGATCCCTCCCCACACCATGACACTCCCTCCACCATATGGTACGACCTCCTGCACGCAACACGCCGCCGTTCGTTCACCCCTTCGGCGGTAAACACGTTGTCTTCCATCAGCCCTAAACATACAGAATCGAATTTCGTCAGTGAAGACAACCCTCTGCCAGTCACGTCGTTGCCAACATCGTACAGTCCGGGCCCATCTCAATCGCAGACGACGATGTTGCGCTGTCAATATCTGTCCTCTGTATGGTCTAAAAGCCCTGATTCCATGAGTCCTGAGTCTCCTGGCCACTGTTTGTCGACTAACCCTGTGACCTAAGGCATTTGTCGCCGATGACGTCACTGTCAGGAAGCGATTTCGGAGGTGCAAGGTACGCAAGTACCGGTCATCATGGGGCGTGGTCACCCTGGGTCTGCGTGTTCTTGGCCTGTCAGCGGTCCGTCCTGTCTGTCTGTAACGTTGCATCAAGTTGGTAACGGCAACACGGGAGCAACCGAAGATTCGTGCAATATGGGCGTGGATGGCTCCCATCTGTACCATACCCAAGGCTCGTTCACGTTGTTCCACTGTGAGTCGTGGCATTTCTTTTGTGTTTTTTTTATCACTATGGATGTCTGACTTGCCGTTGCAATCGTTTTATACCCTTACCCGCACGTGCATTTGCAGTTGTCCGTGGTGCACGTGTTTTTCACTTTTTCGCGTGTTATCTCGCAAACATGTAACAGACGATTAACATTTTCTGCATACACTATTGTTGTATTTAGGTGTAGATAGACTTCATCGAAAAAACATTTATACTTTGTCTGAAATTTATATTTTCAGTCCGTAAAGTTTCTTTTGGACGTCAGTTTATTAAGGCTATTTCATGTGTCTCGTGAAATATCATGTTTTTCTCATCTCGTGACGGGGTAAAGGAGATATTTTCACGAGTGGCGTACGAGTGACACATGTTACACATAACAGTATTATCCTATTTATTATATACTTCTTTTGTGTAGTTGTCTACCGGAAAATTAGATTATTTCATTCCAAATGCAAAACCTTGAAACGTAAATTATCCATACCTCACACACTGGGACAGTTCACCATCCCTTGTCTTTGCGACTTAAAAAGTAGTTTCGTGTTTGCAATATCTTAAAAATATATATATATACAAAAGTATCAAGAAATATTAAGGATCACGAAAATTCATTACCATACATTTAGATATGATTATATACAAACTCAACATTAACAAAAAGTATTCTTGAAAACTGCGAGACAGCTGTTGGAAGCGAAAAAATACACGCTGGCCAAGTAAAGAAAATGGCGCTTTGCGAAACCAACAGTCTCGATTGGCGAGTTAAATGAGAAATTTACAGTTTGTAACGAAACATTTTCGAGGGAACAACAAACGACAAGAAGCGATATCAACTCCATAAAAGAACATCTGTCATTATTTTGCTTTGTCAATATGAAACTAACGTAAAAAGGACGTCAACGGGATGTGTACGGGCCGGACATTTACGATAAAGGGAGACAACTTCAGGCGAGGTATTGTATATCAAGTGTTATGTTCACTGCAATGAAAATATAACTTTTCTCAACTTCAGAAAACACAGTCTTTCACACTGAAGTATATAATAAAACAATTTCAGTATCTGTAACTTTGTACAAAATCTACTTTAACCTAACCGCGCTATTTCAAAGACAAATCTAACTCGTTCTATGTATCTCCAGGTTCTACACTACCGTTACCATGGAGACGGATACGCCCCCAATAAAGAGACGAAAAACCAGGAAGCAGATGCTGCGGAGTGTCCTTATGGATAACCTTCTGGTGATCCTCCTCATCCTGGCTGTCGCCATCGGTATTGGCATGGGCTTCGCCTTGAGGTTAGTCTGGTCCCCCGACGACAAGCGCAAGATCTTCTACTTGGCGTTCCCTGGGCAACTCCTGCTGAACATGCTGAAGTGCCTCATCCTCCCCCTCGTCGTGTCCAGTCTCATCACCGGCCTGGCCGCGCTGGACAAAAGTGTGACCGGCAAGTTGGGCGGCGCTGCTGTCCTCTACTACCTCACCACGACGTTGTTGGCCGTCGTTCTCGGCATTATTCTTGTGCTGTCCATCCAGCCTGGATTCAAGGGAGGTAATACCATTGAGCGGACAGGGAAAGCAAAGTTATCGCAGCCAATTGAATCCCTGCTGGATCTGATACGGTTAGTAATACATTTAAGAAATGTAGTACTTGAGAGACACAGTTCATTTTCTCTTATTACACTTAAGGGACCCAACATATTTTATGGCTCAATTCATTAAGCAATATTAGACTTAGAGATTGCATCAGGAACAACATTGATTATATTGTAGAAATGAAATATAACCATACATTCTGTATTGACTTTCAACTATTTAACAGTTTTCCTTTTTTGTTTGGTCTGCCTTTTCATGGAATGAGTTCATACTTTTCAGAAATGATGTAGTGATTACTTGCTGTTTTAATATATAAACTATATCATGAAGCAGATGGGTAAATCATCTCATTTCCATAACTTACTTTGCTCTTGTTTAAAGACATTTGATGTGTTTGGCGCAAATACACCTTTAACGGTCGAGGTCGCCCCAAACCCAAATACCATACCATACTAGGGAAAGCCAAGATATCGCAGCCCATCGCAACAGGGCTGGATCTGATATATTAAGTGCTCCATAGGGACCGAGTTTTTTTGGTCACTGTTTAAGGCTATTGAAAGGAGAATCTCCCCGACATAAACTCATAACACATCTTTGTTAGGATGTCCAACGAATAATTTATAGTTTATTGTAAAAGTCAATAAAATCTTAGAATTATCTCCAGTCAAATACAACCAAAGAATTAGCAATCAACCAAGTTACCGGGTCTTTCCACCTGGTCCACCTAGTGGACACCTCTCACTACAAGCATACAAGCATATAGATTACTGAAAACCTGATTCTAACCTGGAATCACGTCGGTAGGTGGAACTCGTTAAGTCAGTAAGTAAAAGCTAATGGTCTTTGCTTTAATGTCGAGCTTTCTTTTGGAATTACCGTGGAATGTCAGAGCAATGAAACACTCGTTGTCTCCGTCCAAACATTCTTGGCCATCAGTCCAAGACGTGATGATCAGATAGGGCTGTCTTACCTCCTCATCCACCCGTTCAAGGTGGACATAGGCCACCACCATAGAAGAGTTCAGTCATGCGACGAGAAGTGGTTTGCTCAGATTGGAAAGCCGCCTAACCAGTTTTACAACAGGGCATATTTCAACTTCGTCAGTTATAATTCTGGAACCGATCTTGTTTTGTTTATTACATTAGGTATTTCTTATCAAATACATCCCGCGCCCACGCCCTTGATGTTTACAAAATTCCATGACTGCCAGTTACACAGCCGATGGTTGCCTAATAGTTAGAGTCTTAACTTAGCCATGTCATCGTGTTACCTATAAGTCCACTCACATAGTAATAAAATGAACAAAGATACAAAGACGATTAGTGTTCCATGCGGATGGAGGCAAGAAGATGCAGAGGAAATGTTGAAAGTCACAAATTCGACAAAGGATTCAATGACAGTAAGACGTCCCCTGTGGGACTACTTTTTCTAAACTTTTAGCTCAGCTATCGTTAGATAATTGCCCTTTCAAGCATATTGCATTAATGGCACAGATAAAATACATATACATGCACGTAATTATGCATGTATGAATAATATTTGAAAATATTTGTCGACTGACGTGTGTTTGTCGAGTAAATTGTCTCAACTATCAGCTCAGGTTAATTCCATCAAGCGTTACGTAGCTGCTCTTTCAATCCCGATACTGTAAATAAATATTTCAATGTTACGCCATGCAAGTATTCATACCTAGTTGAAGAAGTTTGCTGATGAATGATACTGGTGACCAACGCTAGGTTACTTACGATCGGTTCGAGCAGTAATACTTGGATTAAGTGATTTGGGTTTTACTCCGCTTTGAACAGTATTTCATAATCACAGTGTGATAGCTTGATTTACTTTGAGGATTTATTAACCCCAGCGTTGTTGTTGTTGCATGAAGAGGTGAGGTGAAATGGGGTTTAACGTCGCGTCCAAGATTTTTGCACTTATATAGCGACGCGCATGCACTTTTGTATGTGTGTGTGGTTGCTTGTACCAGTCCGGACTACTGCCGATTTTATAGTGCTAGCCCACTGAGAAAACATTCCGCAGTTTCACTCAGATATAGTATTCTGACTCAGAGACGACATGTACTTGTTTTAGCCCCTTAAAGCCGAGCTTCAGGCAGGGTAACAACAAGTAGCATCTTCCAACGCTCTCCGGGCGGACACTCTAGTACTAGACCACGGAGGCGGTCGTTGCATGAAGAAACAGCTCTCTGTGAGATGCTGAACAAGAAGCAAAGAAGGTGTGAAGGTCATCACGTGCTTCGAGTGTCGCTATTAGTTAGGAAAATGACCCACATATATATTTACAACCTACAATATACTGGGACTTAACCACATACCGTAACTTACCAGTATTTATACAAATTCCGAACAGTTGAAAATATTTGATCATTAATGTCAGCACAGTCATCTTTTAGTGTCCACTGACCTACTTTACTTTCCTGAAGATGTGTATTCGGAACCCAGTCAACTATAAAACCAATTCGCGGCAACAAAAGCTCTTCTGTCTGAGCCTAATCCAGAATAGCCCCCCGATTTGCTCTAAAAAGTGTATGTACATAACGCGCAGGTGTTTCAAAACAGTATATGAAAAGATCTGTTCAGCAGGACGAATATGCGAACATACAAAGTCACTCCCGTGATGTACAGCTACTTCAAAATACGACGGGTGGCAATACATATCTGAGCCTAGCTAAGGGTGGATAGAACACCGTTAACAGTTTGCATGTATTAAATACAATCAGACTTCTCATGCTTACAGGCTGCTATGAACCAAATACACAACCTGGCAGCATATATGTCATCAATGTGACTATACCTAGTGTCACGTTTTATTATACATATCTATAAGGAAGTCATTCGAGCGTGGCCAATACTAGTTCACCTGGTCCAAGTGAGTTGATGATATCGCGCAAAGCCCGTGTGTGACTAGATATTTTCTGTTGAGGAAAACGGACAAAAGTGGCAACCGCACTCTCATTTGTGTTGCTCCTTCCTTTGTCAGTGTTAAAACTTGAGCAGCGCAGTTCAAACGGGGAAGGGGCGCCTCGAAGATGATCCTAGATTAGGAAGACCTTCAAATGCCACCACTAAGGAAAATGTTGATAAAATACATGTGATTATGGACCCTCGACGAATCCTCACGCTTAACATAGCCAATACGGTAGGCATCGAGAGAGAGAGAGAGAGAGAGAGAGAGAGAGAGAGAGAGAGAGAGAGAGAGAGAGAGAGAGAGAGAGAATGAGGGGAGACACACACACAGAGAGAGAGAGAGAGATAGAGGGGGAGAGAGAGAGAGGGGGGGGGGAGAGCACGCTGGTCTCCAAGGCTCCTGATCAGAAACACTCCAGGTTAACAATCTACGTCGTTTGGAGCTATTTGTAAACATGGTTGAGTGTTGGGTTCATCAATGTTAACCAGGGACTAAACAATAGTCAACGCAGCAGAAACATCTAACGTCTCCACTGAATAAAGCAACGTCTTTTACATCAGCAGACAATGTGGTGGCTACGGTTTTCTGGAATTCCGATGAAACTCCACCATGGTGGATTACCTCCCGAAAGGACAGACTATTAATGGCAAATATTAAGCTAATCTGCTGAGGCAACTCCGTGAGACTATCAAGGCTTAACGTTACTAAACGCGTGTTGTTCCACAAATCTGTTGTAGCCATGGCTGCATTCCATGACTGAGGCTTTGAACTCAATGAACATCCTCCGTATTCACCAAATATGCAACCGTGTGATTTCTTCGTGTCTCAAGATTGAAGAAAAAACTGTCTGGCAAGCATTATCCAAATGATGAGGAAAGCTTCTACACCAGTAGGACCCAGGCACTCCAGCATCGTTGACAGAAGTGTGTGGACCTCTGAGTGGATCATGTTGAACGATAATTAGCAATCAACTTCATCAACACAGTCCATAACATAGTTAGGATCAGAACTTTTCACCCACCCCTCCCACCTCACTAGCATGCACACAGTGCACCAAACCTACGATCCCGAGTGCGTCCTCTTAAGAAGTCGTACTTGGCCGCAATGGGCGGGGGATGCTGGGCTGTGAGATTAGGTAAAACATTTCCTTGCACATCGTCAATACTTCACGGGTTTGTATACACGAAGTTCCATGAAGGCAGGCAGAGTATACAAACACTTGAATGCATTACCTCCATTTTCAATCCAACATAGTACAAGTACAGTAAACTACGGTTATAACGAACTCAAAGGGACTACTATTTTTAGTTCGTTATAACCGTAGTTCGTTATAAGCATATATACAGCATAACTACAGCAAATAGTCGGGACTAAAAAGTAAGTTCGTTATATCCGTCAGTTCGTTATAAGCGTGTTCGTTATAACCGTAGTTTACTGTATGTGTATATTAAACCATTATTATGTCGCATCTTTATTATATTGTAGACGTATTTCTGTAGTATGCAGCATATATATACGTAATAAGCGCCCCGCTCTAATAAGCGCCCACGGCGATATTTGCTAATATATTGGCTAGTGAACAATATCAATTAGCACCCCTTCCGATTGATCAATGTACACAACACTTATTTATTCGCGTATAATACGCACTCGTGTGTTATATGCCCCCTTTATTATGGGCAATTAAATTCTGGAAAAATGTATCTCTCGTACATAAACATTTCAGGCTGTCAGCATAAACCACAAAATTTATCTTTCAACTCTGTTTTTTTCCCCACCAAAATAATATTCTAATCAAAGCCCCCTATTTCTAATTTTGAGAGCACCCTGGGCGCCTATTACGTCGAATACGGTACTTGTAGGTCTCTGTCACATGAAGAAATTTTATACACTTTATATTCTTTTATCTCATAAAAACTAATTATATTTGTAATTAATAACAGCCAATATAATAATTGACGTGGGTCGTTGGTCGAGCTCACCTTCCTCAGCTGTAATTGTTTAGCCTTACCTCTGTATTAGATACTGATAATCGTCCAAAATATACAAGCGTCGAAGGAAAATAGTTCTCACGCGTGGAAAATAGCTTTCCGTTCCCGGGCAG